TTTCTTTTCGGTATCTTCCACGAATGCTAGGAGTTCGTCTGCTGTTTTGCGTGCTGTAGCTTCTTCGGCGTTGCGTTCGACGGTGACTCCTTCGCGGAGCCAAGGTTCTTCGGCCGCCGTGATGAGTGTTGACCCTCTACCTAATGATGATCGGGACCCTTTTCTGTTGCACTACAGCGACTGGCCGTTTTAAGGACACTTCCAAGAGGTGTACAACGTCGCTAGTGAGATGGCTCTAACCAAGAATGATCCGAATGATCCGCCATTGTTCACCCCCTTGGTCTCGGCTGAAGAGTGCCACACGCGCTTCGACAGTACAAGGGCAAGTGCCTCAACTGCTTAGGAGAAGACCACTCCTTCAAATCCTGTAATCGTGGTTTCTTGAACGCCACCGGCTTGCTTAACAATGACATCAAGTTCTGCATGGAAAAAGATCCCACCCTTTGGGGTCGGTGGAAAAAGCGCATGACCTCGTATAGACGCCCTACGGGACGCAACCCACATCGAAATCACCCCTTAGGACGCGCCCGCCGCTCATCTGACACATCGGACACGAAACAGTCCTCACACACAGAGCACTCGTCGGACGCTTCCACTTCGACAAAAAGGGGCTGGAGGGGTAAGAAATGACAAGGCGATGGCGGAGTTCAGCCGGTAGTACCGTCATCAGCAACCACCGTGCACCCTTTTGGAGTCTCCCAAGATGTTCGTGTGCAGCCTATTTCTTTGGATACTCCCCACGCTCCTGAATCACATCTACTTTGTCGGCCCGCCTCCTCGTCGTCCGCCGCATCGCCTGCTGATAATGGACATGACAGACCCATTTCGGCAGTACCTTTGTGGTGGGGGCGACAGGGAGGTAAGACGTCGAGTGGTCCATCCCTGCTCACCTCGTCGTCTCGGGTTACAGAAGGAACAAGAACCTCGTCTTCTACTATTCGTCAATACCCTCCTGGCGTTGTCAGCCGGGCCTCTTCTCGGATCGCACACGAGCCTCCTTCTACACTCGTCGGGAACCCCGTCGATCCTCCTTCTCTTTCGCAGCTTTCGTTGTCTTCCACCGCCCGCTGCCCCCGTGTGACAGCACCTGATACGAATACGTCTTCCTCTGCTGCCCACCACGTGCTGACTGCACCACTGCCATCGGGATTGGATGGCAGTGCCCACCATTCTGTGGAAGGTTCGGCCCCTTTGTCAAGCGGGAGTAGTCAAGAGCGCCCTGCGTCAATGATCAAACATCCGTCTGTTGCAGGAATGACTTCTCCTAACGAACGGGTCTCTAATAGCCGAATGGCCTCTCTCTGCTGACATTGACCCCGCCGGAGCCGCCGCCCTAAGGCCGCC